TGAAGGTTGTGGCGAATATTTAGCACTTGCAGTCGGCTTGAATGTGTGTGGATCCAAAGACGCTGAATCCGAAGCTAAATTTGATTTTCGAGTATTCTTAAGCAGCGTTCATACTTCGCGACAGCAATGGCGATCGTCGCGATCGTCGGTACGCGTCAGAGCGCGCCCCAACGCTATTACTTGGACCGCTCGCTTTGATAAATGAGGAATCCAACTTGTAATACCTTTTTCTCTTAATAATGGCTACTAGCTGGAAACTGAAGACTTTCTCTACCTAAGAGGATCTGGAATATAAGGGAGGAGATGGTTTCACCTTTTATTTAGGCCGGAATAAGTGCAACTTCATTAATAGATGAGCTTCTCTTTGTTTCTTTTGTTTTCATTGTTTCAATTTATATAGGTATCTCAAAAGTTTCCTATTACCTTAACTCAAATATTTATAGTTTACAAGTCGAGTTCAAACAAAGAAAAAAAGAAGCAGAAAGAAACTCACCTAGGAAACAAAACACTGATTCTTTCATGCAACATCGAGGAAGGAGGAAACTTCATAAGTTCATGTATAAGCTCGAAGGATGAAAAAGAAACAATAAGAAACCCTAAATGAAGCCCCCCTTGCTTTCTTGCTCATTTCTATCCTGAATCAAAAAAGAAATAGAAAAGAAAAGCCATTAAGTTTCATCCACCTTTCTTTGAGTCAAAACGAACGCTAGCAGCCGAGTCAATTGCAATTAAAAGAAAAAAAAGGAAACTAAGTCAAATCCTCCATAGCGCTCGGAGCGGTCCGAGTAATAGCGTTGGGGAGCGCTCTGACGCGTACCGACGATCGCGGCGATCGCCACTGTTGTCGCGAAGTATGAACGCTGCCTTAGAGAACTGACATGCGAATATCTTGGTGATATTCGACTCACTTGTGGTAATTTGTTTGGCTTGGGTTGACTGCTGCTGCTCCTCGGTGGACCTCCTGCCAGTATTAGAAGTGAATCTCCTTGCTAGTACTGAGTGGGTATGGCGCAAATTCAGCCTTTGCCGTGGTCCTAGTCGAGGCATTGCCCAACAAGAACAGATGCGAAGGAAGAGTGATTCGCTGCTAAAGGTAAGAGGGAGAGTAATACAGCATACAGTGAATTTCTGATCCGACGGTAGGGCAGTCCTACGTTCCACGTTGGGGAACGGTTGGACGCCACCGCGATCGATAATGGCTGATACGCCCACCATACAGATTTCTGTTGTTTCAGCTTCGAAAAGCTGGAATTCTCGTCCGGCTTTGAGGAGGAAAGGTAAATATGTTCTACTAAAGCTAGATTTCATTTTGCATGATTTTAGTCAATAACATCGACGGTAAACGAAGACTTCAATAGACTATTTGAAAAATGCGGAAATAGGAAGGAAAAACCAGTTTCAAAAAAGAAATTCATGATAAAATCATGTAAATTGTAATGGAGTTTTAGCAAACATAGTCACCTTTTCAAACTACTGTCGAAAAGAGATTAACTTCAGCTTTTTCAAGCTGAATACAGCAGAAATACAGAAAAAAAATGTTGCAGAAACCAGCTGACTGGGAGCGCCAGCAATTATCGATTGGCGAGAGTCTAGACGGAAGAATGAGGAGATAGTGCGGCGGCGTGTGTTCGAGCGCAGAGTCAATGTCAGAGAACGCAGAGGCAATGAAGATAATCGCCCCAGGCCTTCCGCCTTTCCACCGACACGCAACCGTCAGTCGTAGAACCGCCTCATCGTCGGATGAGAACTCCACTATATTGACTTACTTATCACTCCTTGCTTACCTTGAGTTGAGGATGGTACCTTGAGTTCATTGGTAGAACTTGTGTAGCTGCCAGCCGGATGAAGGTCAAATTTCGTATTTGCAGTGGAAGTGGCTGCTGAAAATACTTGATGTGGACAGTGGTTTTCTCTAGTAATGACCCAGAAATCCATTGGGGAGAGATACTTATAGCTCACTCGTTGCATTTTGCTTAGTTTGTGTCGGTACTGCCAGTTCATCGGTGGAACTTGTATCACTACTTGATGGATGTAACACAACTCCAGGGCTGGAAACGGACGTGACTGCATGCATATCAGGCGATGCTAGATGAAGAGACGATTATCCTTCCCTACTGACCCATAAACAACGAGAGGTGCATTAACTCACTTGTAGTACTGTGCCGAACGTGGGTCCGCCCTGACAGCTCATTGGCAGTGTTTGCGATACTTTCCCATGGCTCTGCCTTAGATACAGCGCTCGCAATCATGCTGGTCGTGGGATAGTCTAGAACTGAACTAATGAAAAATATTATAGTATTATCAGCAGATTGATTTAGCTCGACACCAAGATTGTTAATAAGTCGATGTAGTTTGTCTTCGAGCCTCGACAAGATTGAAATACTTTATTAGGCCAACGTTTCGGCGTCTTCGCCTTCGTCAGAGCCTGAAATGGACAAAAAACACATGAGACCTGCCCGCTCAAACGCCTCAACAATTCTCAAGACAATTTCACTAAACTAGTAAAACGACCCAACGGTATCGATCGATAGTGTTGTGGCTCACCTTGATCTAGACGCCGCAGTGCGGGCTCGACCACCCTGAGGTTGACTTGAATGCGGATTAATCATTACCAGTTACACCCTCCGACCTCACGGTAGATCAAAACTTACAGAGGTCGAGGAAAGGCGCGAGTTCGCGGGTCACAGCCACACACTCCTCCTTTCTATTCATTTTAGGGTCCTTGGCAGTGATCCAAAATGCCTCCAATGTCTTACGCGCCGTGATCTCGGGCTCCTGCGCTAAGATGACCACCGAGACGTCAAATGACGTGCCTCCATGGTGTTCAACTCGATGAGCTCCGAGTGGAGTCTGGACCCTAGATCTACTGAGCCCCTCCAGATGTTCCTCAACCCGCACACGAAGGGGGCGCCCTGTTTCACTGCCACAATTCTTGCAGTGTATCGAGTAGATAACTGCCGACTTCATGCAGTCGCCCTGTCTGCCGAAGGGACAAACAACACAGTCGGGGGTATCACATAAGGTGTCATAAAGCCGGTTGCGAATAAGGTGACGTTTTAAGTTACATGGGGGTATTTCCACGATACTAATATCGTCCTGGAGATCACATCGTTTCAGTGTGATCGAATCGTCCTGCTAACCTGTTCGGAAATATAGGGCAGGCAAAAAAGGACTTTATTGGTGTTGTTCTGGGAGTGCCCCGACGCTCTGAGACGACTCGACGTGGAATGCCCCCGTCGAGTCGTTCTCAGAGCAAGGATATCCATTGGATAACGCGATAGTCTGGGCTCTGTTCGACGACTCTTTTCTTAACTCGCTATCTGATGAGACCTTATGGGCTATCCTGAACATGTTTTTGACGACAGCTTTCTTGGTTTTCATCGGATGAGCCGAGGTATAATGTATCAAAATGTTAACAAGTCTTTATTCAACTGACGTTCATACTTACGTTACTATAGTATTGAAACTTGATTAAAAAGTTTTGGGGAAGAAATGTTTTTTCTGCGATGTCCAGCAGATGAGCAAGAGGCACATGATGACACGAAAACAGTGCCATCTGGGTTTGATTGGCTATTTATTTTACAGTCTTGTCCGCTGCGGACGATAGGGCGCTTCCAGGGGGATGGCTTTAGCGCGGTGCCAGCCCGCTTCTTTCCGTTTTTATTTCGACAAGCAACAAGACTGTATCACATCGTTACCACCTGCACTCCTCAACATTTAGTAGAGAACGGGCTAGCGGCGCGCCAAAACCAGCAGCACTGATTTGTCCACTATCCGTAGCGAACAGGACTCTATACATCACGACGCCTGGTATGCGAGTCAGGTTATATCTGAGCTATAAAGTCACTGCAGGAACCAAGCTTAGGATTGGATCGCAGCCAGGGTGCAATTTCCACCAGTTGTTGCTGGCTCAGGATGTCTTCAATTGATGGCACGAGCTGTCCTGCGCCCCAACCTTCCTTCACGCGCCATCCAGTTGCAGGAATAATAGCTGTGCAACCGCTAATTGTTTGACAAGTCCGATATGAGATGGAAAGGGTTCGCTGATATCGAAGGTACGTCGGGGTGGTAATGTCGATTGTACAGGGGGCCCAAGACACTTTTCTTCTTCTACTTCTTAGACGATGTATGTTACATTTTATTAGATTCTGATTGGGCATTTTCACCACCAAATTCAACAACGCATTGCACACGATCACGAAACTCCGCCACAGCCTTCTGGACAAACGCCTATCGAGAGATTCTGCCCGCGACGTGATTCGGTACCTGAATTCAGCGAAGTCGTTAATCTCATCACCATTGTAGACCCAAACCCGGTAATGGAGGGGGTTTAGGGCAGGCGGCACTCGAATACTCCGCAGGTACGCAACGCCCTTCGATTCCAAGTAAGCGAGAGTTTTTCCAACGCCCTTTGATTCCATGTGCTGGCACCCAATCCTGTAGCAGTACGAGATTTCCAAGATGGTACAGGCGACGACATGAAGGCAGGATATTCCCCTCGAGTTGGTCGATGCCAATAGCGGTTCACTTTCAGTACGAGATCCACGAAGAAAATATCGGTCTTTCCATTCCAGGAAATTCCGGTCCATACCATCAACCCGCGCCTTGGCGACTGCGGTGAAGATGATATCCTGGATCGCCGCCATGATCCGTGCAAGTGATAGAGAAGCGCGACTGGGCGCGGTTGGACAGCTACTGCTGTCCCTTTTTCCAATAATGATGCCAGAGCGCAACAATTAGCCGTGGAAACTGATCTGGCTGTTCTCCTTCCAATTCGCTCTATTCGAACCATCAGAGGGATCATAAATAATATAAAGTAGTATGGAATTTTAGCTCGACCCTCTTCATAACAATTGGATGCGGCCATTCTCACTTGCATTCGGAAGGACTTTTGAAATCTTATATCTTTGGCCTATGCTTAGCTTTTTTCTGCAAAAACGACTTTGCCTTCGCATTTTGATGGAACTCCTAAAGCCGAATGGGTCATATTTCACGATTTCTTAACCAAAGAAAGAAATACAAGAACATTCGTCGAGCTCGTGTAATCGCGCAGGTCGTAAAGCGGATACGGTAATTGTAGCAGGGTCAACTGCAGGAACACCTATAAGCACTAACAGTAATCGTGTGAGTAAAAAATTACGTCACTGTACAATGTCGAATGCTTGAGGTTAGGGTACATATGGACTCACCCGTTGTAGCGTGTTCAACACTGTCGCTGGCACTGTCATTTCGTAGTAGCACTGTCATTTCGCTATCTGAGCTTGCACCAGGCGTGGCTGCAGTGGTTACGCGGAAAGCTAAAAAACCATGTGGCTTTACCGCTTGTTCAAAAGTTGCATCATTTTCGCAATTCGCGGTACGAAGGGAAGTGATGAGGGCACCCATGCCGTCGTTTTTCTTACTCGCCCCACTCACCTTCATCAAGCCCGTCCCTTACTCTACCCTGCCTTAATAACAGGAGACACTTCGAACAACGCGAACTGGTACAGTCAAAATCAAGTCAGCGAGGAACAATTGCGGCAACCATATCAATCACTACACCACAGTCCGATCACCCCTTTTCACGGCTTATACTCACATAAATGAGCTCACTAGGGGGCTTTATTTGCGTCATTCGTCACCAATATCTCTTTCACGAAAACAACAAGATTTTTTAAGGTAAAGGCCCGCATTTGACTGAACAACAACGGCAACATTCCTTACCAGCCCCTATCAGCTGTTATCACTTCCTGTCACCCGCCGTCGCCGTCCCCACCTCCCCCTTTATATCATTTGCTGAAATCAACGCCTAGCTGATGCTGTGTCCCGCGTTATGAGTATGGTGACCTTCCCATTCTAACTCCCCTTATCAAATCTTATCAGCTGCTAGCAGTTCTTGTCACCCACCAATGATATTCCTGTCCCGCAGCCTATATCTTACCTTGGAACTGGAATATTCCTGTGCTGCCGTAGCCTATATCATACCTTGGAACAAACGTTCCAGTGTTGCTGTGACCCGCGCTATGGACTCGGTGACCCTCCCCTTCTGACGCCTCTTATCAGATCTTATCAGCTGATATCACTCCCTGTCACCCACCAATAATGTTCCCGTCACAGCCCCTATATCACTGCTTGGAATCAACTTCCTACAGCAACTGGGACGGTCGCTATGAATTTCGTGACAGACACACACAGACATACTCAGCGAATTATACATAGTGGGATCATTTGCCAGTGTGAAGTGCTCATCACAATTCTAAAAGCAAGTTATTAGAGCCATTGGAACAACGGACGGTCCAGTGTTCGAGAAGATTTCTACTATATATAATTCGCTAAGTATGTCTGTGTGTGTCGTCTGTTTGTCACGAAATTCATAGCGCCGGTCCCAGTAGCAGTGAGACATTGATTTCAAGAAGTGATGTAGGCGGTGTGACGGGAACACTATTGGTGGGTGACAGGAAGTGATATCAGCTGATAAGATTCGATAAGAGGCTTCAGAAGGGGAAGGTCACCATATTCATAACGCGGGTGACAGCATCAGCTAGCTGTTGATTCCAAGATATGATATAGGGTATGGCACATGAACATCATTGGTGGGTGACAAGAAGTGTTAGCAGCTGATAAGATTTGATAACGGGCGCTAGACTCGGTTGCAGAACGTAGCGTAAGCGTGGAGCGCAGACTTCTGCCAATGATACCCTCAGCTGGCGACCGTCCGGCATGTCGGATAATATCGGGCATGGCGTTCTTATACAACTACCGCAGAACGCCATGCCCAACATTATCCGACATGCCGGACGGTCGCCAGCTGAGGGTTTCCTTGGCAGACGTCTGCGCTCCACGATCACGCTACTGAAGCCCTCAGTGTCGGTTCGGTTCTGGAACCTGCGAGAAATCAGAAAGAATGGAGTCTTAGTTCAACCATCATCACGAGAAGAGGCCAAAGAACCGTTCTGAGCCCTGTGAATCACGTATGCGACCCGAAACATCTCGCGAGTGCGCACCGATGCAGACGAAAGAATAGTAACACTTCGCCATTCTCTATTGCATGTTCGGGTTCACGATTAACTATGGAGAAGGACAATCCAACCAACGTTTTCGTCTCCCAGAATTAGCCCGGACCAAGCAACGTCGCTTGGTATTGGATGACGCTCGAATCTGCCATGCTACGTGTGCAGACAAGATACGCCTAGACGACACAGGATGCGAGTCAGGCATGCGAACGACTGCCGACACAGGATACCGATGTGCCAACTTGTTCACCCGACAAGCGAGAACACGACGCCCTCCGAACCGACAGATCAATCCAAAGAAGGAGACATACATCTTGGGAGGGAGGTTTTCGATCAATGATGGGTCTTGATCTTGCCAAAAAATCAAAGCTATTGTAGGCGATCGTGAATTCCAAGATCAGCTTGTAATCCTGATCAACTCCGCCCATCTTTACCCGGTATTGTATTTACTGTGATTAATCATTCAGCTTAGTGTCTTCTGTAATAAACTGTATTCTACTCGTCTCCAGCGCTCGAGGACACAACCAAACCCCTAAATTACCTAACCAGTGCTGAACCTATCCTTCTAAGGCTGTTTATCAGCTCCTATCGGTCTTTATCAATTTCTGCCGCCCACCAATGATGATCCCGTCGCGCCCCCTTATATCGAATTATCGGTGTGAACTCTCTACGGTTAACTTGTTAATTGAGTAAGTTACGAGTCCCGATCAAACACACATACAACACTATACAAACACACACACACATCCGACAACAAACTTAGCGGATTATATATAGTAGGATTGTGACTCACCTGTCGCAGTGTTTTCGACTGTTGTCGGCCAATGCCATCTCAGCATCATTGTCAGTGCTTGTGATTGCTGGATGTAGCGTGGATACGAAACTGATAGTTGGCCTTGTTGCGGGAGAGCCCGAAATACCTATAAATATGAAGAAAAATTTCTGTTTTCATTATAACGAAGTACTTGTTCTTTCTCACTGTGCCAAATAAGTCAGAAGCAGGTATATAACGACTTACCTGACGTACTTGGCCTTATTTGTGCGGTCACTGGGATTTTTGTGGAGCTTGTATACTTTTTCAGTATATCTTTCACAAATTCGGTCCTTGAAGTCGGCGCCGAAACAGGAATACTCGAAGATGCCAAATGTAAGGGTAAAGTGCTTCGCGCTGTAACTCCAGTTTCAAATATAAGTCAGTTTGAAATTTATAGCTACTGCGCCCTGTGCGACTTCATCAACAGCCACCCACCCACTGGTAGATTCTCGAATTCTGGTAATTCACTTCACATGTTCAAAAGGAAATTGCATTCAATCGTAGAAGACTCGTCGGAAGAACGCTTAGAACTCCACCCATCGTCCAAACTTTATTATGAGTATTTGCTCATGCAACTGGCAAAGTAACCCATTGATAAGGTGCGATCGAAGACAATTTCCGCGATAAAGTGCTACGGGTAGTAGGTGCTCAATCATGAATCAGTAGCCCATAAGTACCCCCTCTCAATAAAGGAAGGAGCAAGAAAACCCCTCAGAAACACTCTTCCTAAACCCCCTTAGCAGTGGGTCGGCGCCTTAGACGAGTTTGTCGACATCAACGTGCAACCAATTTCCGGCAAGAGCACAGGAAATCACCCTACGACGCTCCAGGCAACGCTATGTACACACGCAAGCTGCTTGTAAGCCGTTGTCTTGCAGAGTGAAAGTAATCGTGGTTGCAATGGTTGCAATAATCACGCGTCTCTAGCTTCTTTATCTCGCCGTTTCGAGTGACGAAAGTGGTATAATCTCTGCGAATGCGGACAATGATGCCAAATGCAGGGAGGCATTTCGCGTTCGCTGGAACTGTCTTTAACGGCAATTTAACGGCAAAATCCGTAAGGTTGGAAGCAGGTACAGTTTGACTCACTTGATCCAGTTTGTATCCCTTGTGTTGATGAGACGAACTCCTTGGCTGAGCTTGTATACCTGCTTGATGGGTGTTGCACAGATCCAACAGTGGCAGTCATCTTGGTTGAAGTGGAACCTCAAAGCACCGAATGAGGAAATTGGGAAGAGGTAATGTTGCCTCGCATACCGTACCTTCTTCGCCTGATGTCGGCACTGTCACTGCCTCAGTAGAACCTGCGTAAGTACTTGATGACTGTGGCGCTGACCCAACGCTTACAAGCGGTTTTACCACGTGAGAACCTGAAAATACTATTTAGGGTCTAACAGCACCCACCAACGCAATCCAGAAAAGGTGGCACTGTAACTCACTTGCCGTATTTCCCCTAGTTTGCGTCGGCAGGGCAGATTCACTGGTAGAGCTCGTGTAAATTCCTGATGGATGCGGCGCAGGTCCACTACCAGTAGTTTGCCCGGTAGAGAGAAAATCCACTAAATGTGAGTAAAGCCTTTCTTAGAGTCTCTGGACATTCAGGAGAGAGTAGTGGCCTACCTGTTGTGCTTCTCTTGTCTTGTGCTGTCAGTGCGGATTCAGTTGAAGAGCTTGTGTAGTGGCTTGATGAGTGTGGCTCAGATCCTGCACTCGTGATCGAACTGGTTGGGAGAGAACCCAAAAGCGCTGGAAGG